TCCTTGTGGCACACACGTGAACAAAACCACAGTTTGTCCTTCATCAAACTTCTTCACTCCTTGGCGGTGTTATCTTTGATGAAGTTAGGTTTGAATTGCTTCGCCTTGCCTTTCACTTGAGTCAAGTTCTTGGTGAGGCGAGCTACTTCTTGCTTGAGTTGCTCATTCTCCTTTGCAACCGCTTGTGTGCATATATCTACAACAACTTTCTCAACACAAACTTGGTTGCAAAAAGGTGAGTCTAAACATAAATCATTACAAGAAGTAGAGGCATCCCTTTTAGACATGTTGAAGATAGGACTCTTCTTTTTGGATGCCTTGGTGGGGGTTGTGCTAATGGCTTCAAGATTAGCAACTTTATTAGTTAGCTTATCACAATGTTTGCACATGGTTTCCATTTTAGCAAGCAAACTATTATATGCCTCTTGTGAGCTAGCTAACTTTTCTTTTAATTTTTAATTTTTCTTTTCAAGTTGCTCATCATTGATTGTGCATGTATTTGTTGTTGCATTAGCCTCAAGTTTCTCAATTTTAGTAGATAGTTCAACATTGAGATTAGCAAAGTTCTCATATTGTTCAAGCAAGATTTTGTATGCTTTTTTTTGTGAACTATCTAGCTTTTCTTTTAAACTTTTGAGCTTCTTTTGTTGACTAGTGCAAGCTTTAGCATAATTAAGATTTTTTGCACAAGTTCACGATAAGAAGGCATATCATCATCACTATCACTCTCACTAGAGGAAGAGCTTTTCGACTACCTCGTGCCATAAGGCACACACGAGAAGAGCTTGATGATGATTGCTTCATGGCTCTCGGCTTCTTGTGATGGGGTTCTTCTTCACTTGAAGAATCATCCCATGATCTTATTGATGTGAGGGCTTGGTTCTTGCATGCCTTCTTCTTTGTCTTGGGTGTGGGCTTGTTTGGACAAACTTCCACAAAGTGCCCCAACTCACGCATCCATAGCATCCTCTCTTTCTTTGCTCTTTTCTTTGATTTGTGAAAATGAAATCTTGAATTTGGATGGGCACACCCTTGACATTGAGCCTTTGATCATCTTCTCCACCTTGTTGATCACTTTGATTGATTCTTCATCAAGATCGGAGGTGGAGGAGGAAGATGATCATCACTTGAATCTTCATCATCATCATCATCGTCCTCATCTTCTTCTTCATCTTCACTTGAGGAACTTAAGCTTGAGCTTGTCTCAACTTGCTTGCCCTTCATATTCTTTTTCTCGCCATGGCTTAGAGCTTTGCCTTTGCCTCAATGAAGAGGCTTTCTTCTTCTTGATCCATCTTACATGACATTTCAAATGCCACTAACTTGCCAATGACTATGCCCAGGGTCATGTTGCTCAAGTCCTCCATGTTGTGAAGGATGGTGATGATGCTTGCATATTTCTTTTGTGGTAGCACGGAGATGATCTTCCTCACGATGTCCGTGATCATCTAGCTTTAATAATCCTATAGACTGGAGCTCATTGATAATTAGATTCAAACGAGAATACATATCACGAACAAGCTCATCATCATTCATAGTAAAGGAATCATAGTTTTGCTTTGCTAGACAATGTTTTTGCTCACTTGACATTGCTTGTGCCGTCACATGAAGTTCTTGGAGTTTTAACCAAATTTCATTTGTCCGTATTTAAATGAATACTTGGTTAAAACATCCATACTAAGTGATTCAAACAAGCAATTTTTAGCTGTAGCATTGAAGTGCATTTCTTTTTCATCACTCTTTATGGGTTTTTTTGGGATTCTTGATGGGTTTCATCCTATCACGCAGTGACTCTCCATACACCCAAATCAACCGCCTCAAGGTGGCAAGCCATTCTAGCTTTATAGTATGGGAAGTTAGTGCCATCAAAGTGCGGAGGCCTAGCGGCATCCATCCCAATCACTCTAAATAGCGCCGCTCAATGTAGGTTAAGCCAAAGGTCCAAATTGAGCCAACTGCCTCGATACCAATTGAAGCGGACCGTGATCGCCTAAGAGCGGGGGTGAATTAGGCAACTTAAAAACTAACTCCAAACTATGGCCTCTTTTTCTACCCTTAGCAAAACCTATGCAAAAAGATAAACTATCTAAATGAGCAACTACGGTTTTGCCAATGTGTTGCTATCTCTACAAAGAAAAGGAGTAATGCAATTAATGTAAATACGAAAGCTAAAGAGCAAGGTAGAGATATGCAAACTCCCACGATGACTCCAAGATTTTTTACCGAGGTATCGAGAAGCTGCAAGCTTCCCCCCTCAGTCCTCGCTGGAGTCCCTCGCAAGAAATCCTCACAAGGGCCAAGCTCCCTGCGGGTAACTCCATGGATAGCCTCGGCCTTCCCCACGCCGCCAAGTGGGTCTCCGACATGCCTTCCAAACAAGCCTCTCCCGGATGCTCCCCACCGCCTTCACTATCAAGCTTCCACCAAACGCCGTGGGCCTTTGTTCCTCCGGGTACACGGTGGTGGCCACACCACAAACACGGTTGGTGTGATCTCGCAAGACTTCAAGCCCGTCTGATGTACAACAATGAAAGCGCGCGTTAAGCACCGAGTGGTAAGAGGTATGCAAACCTCACTAAACACTAGGCCTAAACCTAGAGCAAGCGCATAAGCGGTGGTCTAATCAACCTAAGCACTTCGCAGCACCCACGCTAATCACCTAATGAAACACTAAACACTATGCAAGTGGAGATCACTAAAATGGTGTATCAACACCCTAGATATGTTTCCTCATCTCCACACTCCTCAAATGGCTTCTGTTGGTTGTATTTATAAGCCCCCATCGAGAAAGTAGCCGTTGGGGTCGAATTCCCACAAATCTGCCATCGACTGTCATTCAATCGCCCCGACCCAGACGTGTCCAAACGTCCCGACCGCTGAGCCGGCAATATCGATTGACGCCGACGGCCGTCTCGTCGAGATTTGCCGCCAGAACCTTATCGAATTGATCGGACGCCGCTATCCTCACGTCTCGGTCGTTTCTTGTGCCAACGGGTCGGTCTAGGATCCGGCCGCCATTCGCCGAGCCACATGCCTAGTGTCCGGCCGCAGCGTCCGGTTGCTTGTCCGGAACGTCCGGTCCTCGCATTCGTCACCACAAGTGAGCTCATTTCTTCGCGATCTCTTGCGACGGCTTGGTTCCAATCTTTGTGCTTGGACTTTGCTTGATATCTTGGGTCTTCTCTTGTGCTTCTAAGGTCTTTCTTAAAGTGTTGATCATCGGATCACCACGTCGCCTTCTGGCCCAAGTCACGCCTTCCACCCTATTGAACTACAAAATAAACACTTGCAAATTCATTAGTCCAATTTGGTTGTGTTGATCATCAAACACCAAAATCCAAAGTAAATGGGCCAAGGGTCCATTTTCCTTACAGAGAGGACGGACGCACGATGGTCGATGGAGAGCGGCGGCGGCGGTGGATCGCGAATGCTAGAGCGAGAGCGAGGCAATGAGCGAGAGCAGACGGCGCAAGCCATGGGGAGGAATGGGGATTAGGGACTTAGGGTTA